TGAACCGGTTGAGGGGATGGTCGGTTGTTGTAAGATGTGAGAGTTGTAGGTGAGAGGTGGAAGAAGGGAGGATGTTGTTGGAGGGGAAGATCATGGGTAGCAATGAGACTGAGAGGAGAGGAAGGCGTCACAGGAAGGGGCTGGAGAGGAGTAGAGAGAAGACCTTGTACTGGAGTCACTGGAATGGGAAAAGGGTGGAGGAAAGGGAGGAGGCCTAGCGGAGAATCTACTGGAGGCAAAAATTGTGCGGTTGTTTGAGAGGAACAAGTGACGGGCAGGGAGGTTGGGTGTCGACTGGGAACATAGATTACGACAGTTAGCAGGAGAGGTAGGTAATCACCACATTTGGAGAGGGATATAGTCGGAGCACCACCCATTTTGTCGGATATAGCCCTCGAAGGGGAAAAGGGGACGCTGAAGGCTATCCAAACAAAAACCTGAAATAACTCACAATAATTTTACCTTAATTCAACCAACACACCTATTTATAATAGACATATAGGCGAGAAAACATAAAAGATAGGTTGGGAGGGTTGGGGGAGGGAATTCCTTTGTAGTGAAAAGTAGGAGGATGGGGTCAGTTCGACCCCTATCCCTTGCTAAACCGGGTGAGGGCATGGCCGTTTGTTGTAAGATGTGCGGGTTGTAGGCGAGAGGTGGAAGGAGGGAGGATGTTTTTGGAGGGGAAGATCACGAGTAGCAGTGCGGCTAAAAGGAGGGGAAGGTTTTACAGGAAGGGGCTGGAGAGGAAGTAGAGAGGAGACCTTGTAGCGGAGTCACGGGAATGGGAAAACGGTGGCGAGAAGGGAGGAGTCCTAGCAGAGGATCTGTTGTGAAGCAAAAATTGTTGCTGTCTTGGAGAGGGATACAGTCAGAGTACCGCCCATTCCATTGGATACACCCCTCGAATGGGATAAGGGGACGTTGACGGCTATCCAAATAGAAACCTGAAATAACTCACAATTATCTAACCCTAATTCAAACACCAATTTATAATAGACGCATAGTTGGGAGAACAGAAAAAATGTGGGGAAAATTCCCGCTTAATGAAAAGAGGGAGGGGGTCGGTTCGACCCCTACCCCTTGCTTTGCATCAGTCTCCCAGGGTTGGGGGAGCTTTGACCCTATTTGTTGAAGTTTCTAGCTTCTCATGGCATGATGTCAAGCCCCCTGGTAGGTCGATCATGTCGGTGTTCTCATTCCACAACATATTTTGGTAGAATAGGCATCCATCATCTTTTACACATCATGTGCGGTAGTTGCATATAGAGGTGGGTTCTCGCAATATAACTCTCGAGCCCTTAAGTTTGAAACACTTCTTCCACTTTTCGTGCCCAGTGAACTTAGTTGATGAACAAGTGTGTAAAAAGAAATCAATTCTAGGATGAAATTTGTGGCTGACGGTGCCACTCTCACGAGCTATCACTCAGGAGAGATATCTTCTATGACAGGAATTAGATCTTATTGAAAAATTTTATTCTCTTCTTTGGGAATATTTCAATGCTGTGGTTCATCCCTTATGTCTTGACATTTTTTGATGGGTACCCCGCTGAGCTGAATCTAACATTTGAAATACTTGTACTATTCTAGGCATGGCACAAAATGTCTTCTCTTTGGACATGCTGGACCTCCGTCAATAGGGGCCACTCAGAAGGGGATTTATAAATCTGAAATATCTGCATTTACTTTATCAGTGGTGACTGATGTCGGCTCCTCAAACTTATAACACTTGTATATTTTCTGAACGTTTTCTTCAAATCAACCCAACTTAATCGGTGCAATTTTATTAATGATTTTTTTAGGGTAACTTAGGTTTTAACATTAAGACATCCAACTTAATTAAAGTCTTCTGATATTTTTTTTACCTGCTTTTAATATTTTATGTCTCTTTGCAGCATGCCATATATTTTTCTTATGTCATAAGTATAAATTTAATAGCCAAACTATTGATATTTTCTAAAACTACAAGTAGAAAATCTTACTTCTTTAATTATTTGTTCACTAACTATTTCTTAAATTGTGAGTAATTTTCTATTGATATGATCCCGGGTCATTTTTATTTATAATATTATATTTTTTATGTTTTGGGCCTTGCAAGTTATTCTCTACTTTTCATTACATTTTGACTGATTGTAGTGTCCCTTCCAAGCAAATGTCATGGCCAAACCTTTGCCACTTTTATTCTAACTGGATTAGTTGTAAGCATATTTTATGAATAATGACCTAGCCAAGTCTTACTCACTTCTCACAAGTGAATTAAGTTGCGGCACATCACATTTTAGTAACATCTTAGGATTCTGTATTAATCATTGATTCAAAAACTTTAAATGTTGTGTTTAAAAAATTGGTAATGATCAAAGTCTTATAGAAATCCACCAATTATGTTTAGTTGAACTGTTGGTTTTTATTCATCAAAATCATTAAAATAAATATTATGGATATTTTATGTTTTAAATTCTAATTCATTTTAAGACTACCCTAGAATTTCTTTTGGTGCGATTGATGTCGTTTGCAAAAAAAAAAAATCATTCTGCATCCAATAGATGTTTGAATGATTTAGAAATGCTAGAATTGTGTATGATATTAGTTTAATTATGTTAGAGACGTCCAACGTTTTTTGTTTCTTATATTCCATAGCTATGTTTAAATGTTTAGGTATGAGAATGCTGGACGTTCCCTTACAGGATATATACAAATGTACGCATTCATGTATGTTTGCATGGATGCACCGTAGTTGTTATTCACATTCTTTGAATGTTTCCTTCAAGAAAATGTTTGTATGGTTCAGTTGAGCGGTTTTATGTTTATGCTTGTTATTCCCAATATACTAACTTTCTGAATTAATCTTTTTTTTTCTCTTGGCGTGCTTTGAATGTCTTTCTTCGAGAAAATTTTTGTATGGTTCAATTGAGTGGCTTTATTTTTACGCTTGCAATTCTCAATATACTTTGTAAAATTTTCAATTGTTTCCTTTTGCAGGACGAATGTTCTAATTTCTTGGTAGAAATGGCGTGGGTTGAAAGTGTATGTTATTAATCTCTAGTGTCTACATTATTTACATTTTTGGTATCTTTTCATCAAGAAAGAAAACCTCCAGAATTGTTTGAAATGTTTTTACTTTTTACTTCTTTTTTTTGTTGCCAATTTTCTTTATGGTATTTTTAGGATGCATCAATTTAGGTCTATAAAGTGTGATCATTGCCATTGGTCAGATTAATCAGAACAAAACCTTTCACCAAGGTTCCATATATTACTTAAAAGTTCTCGTGTAATTCTTTCATGTAGATTTTAAAAATTCCTTGATTGTTTATTCACAAAAAGGTACATATATTTATAGGGAAATCAATTCATTCTTTTTTACAAACTTTCCAAATATATCCGATCTAAATTAGGAATGAAATAATTTTGAATAAAAAATAGAAAGACATGAAATAGAAAAGAAATAAACCAATCAAAGGTTTTCTAAGATATTCCTATCAAATCCTCCAAGATACACTGGATAGATTTAATGTCAAGTTTGGTTTGAGTTGAGAATTGAATGTGAACATGGGATACACACACAAACATTTAAAGTGGTATAATACAAGAGAAAATGCTGATGTGTGAATAGGTAACCATCAATACTTGAAGTAGTATTTTAAAGCACTCCATTAGGCATTCATTTGATAAGGTATGTTGCAGTAAGAACTACTTCCCCATAAAAATATTTTGGAATTTGATTAGAAATTTTGATTGAACAAGACAACTCAAGTAAATGTTTGTTTTTTCTTTCTGCTATTTCATTTTATTGTAGGGTAGCAATACATTGATTCACATGGATGATTCACATTGGAATATTATTTTGCATTATCAATTTTGAGGATCTGAATTTTGTATCGAAATTGATTTTGAATCATGTCATGAAAAGTTCAGAAGACTTGGGTTGTTTTAGAATTTTCCTTCATTAGGAGTACCCACAAATGAGACAAACCATCTAGCCTCACTTAGGATTTTTACCTTTGAAGATATCACTGTGGATGATGAAAAGATGTGAGGGTTTATATTGAATTATGTGAAAACTATGTCTAGTATTTTTAGCAAGTTGACAAGTCTCACACTTATAAAAATTATATTTTTTATTGATAAACAAATGTGGATACCAATTAGTAGTATAATTGAAATTAGGATACCCGGATGATAATTCCATCACATGACTTCTTTTTTGAAGGATATAAACTCAGTATACTAAAAAATTTGAGGTACATATAAAGGTCAGATCAGTTGTATGTTTAGAGAGATTTTTCTCGAGTAGGTATAAGTTTTGATATATTTCAACAGCCAATCACCTGTCACGACCCAACCCGGGGTTTGGAGTTAACCAAAATGGGAACGGACAACCAGATAGTGGAAATCAAATTTCTGTTATTTTAATTCTATCACTAACAATTTAATATTCAAATAATAAATTTAATATTCAAAAAATAAATGAAAGAGCCATTAAAGAAAACAATTAAAATTAACAAGTAAAAATTGTACATTTCTTGTCGTTGTTCTCATCTTCTATTCATCTTGTTCAAATGTTTAAAACCTAAAAATAATATTAAAGTAATATAATGAGTTATTTAAAAATATCCCCTGAGTAATCACACTTCTAAACTGCAGTAATTCAATGAGAAGAATTCAATATGTATGCGAGGATAAGAATTTCATATGTATGTGAATCTATAAAAAATCTTATAATATGCTAGTCATTCATCGCTTGATGGCAATTCCCGACGCTGAAACTATCAGATTCACTTCTTTTCTCCCCGACTAAGCTCGCAAATTGTCTCTTCCAACCCGACGACGTCGCTTTGTTCGCTTACCGAAGACGACGACGACGCCTCTGTTCGCACGTCGTCTCTTAATCGACGATGTGTCTTCTTTCGCGACCGACGAAGACGATCCTAAACAACAACGCGCTGCTCGCTTTCGTCTTCCTGCTCGACTAGTTCGCACGTCGCAGATGGACGCCCCTTCCTGGCAGATTTCCTTCTTGCATCTTGTTCTTATCGCGGCCCGCCATCTCTTTTGACCGTGACATCTCGGGAGGGAGATGGCCTTGATGATCCGTTCCTATGCAGATGCCCTTGTCTGCGACTTGTCCTCTCCTGCTAGTGCCCCTCTAGATTCAGCACCTGGTTTTGCTATTAGTAAGTCTTGCAATGTTGCAGAATTTTTCCATGAGGCTTTTTAAGGTGGAAGTGATCACAATTTTATCAGAAAGCTTGAAAAAAAATGGGAAGCTTGCACTTATTATCACAGAGGCTGAAACCAGTACTCTCGCATTCTCTTGGCTTTTTTTTCTAGTGGGGAAATTCCTTTATGGTCACCCAAAACTGAAGATCATTAGGAAGGAGTTTGATGTTATGAAACTATTGGGCAGTTGGAACATTGGGTTGACGGTAGACATGTACTTATTCAGCTATCTCGTGATGCAGATTACACTCGCATTTTCTCTCGTAAAACTATCAAGATTGACAATATTTTTATGAATATTCTGAAGTGGACAGTCGGCTTTGATCCAAAAGCGGAGTCCCCTATTATTCCTTTTTAGATAAAGTTTTTGGGGTTAAAATTACATCTTTTCAACATGAAAATCCTCTACTCTTTAGCAACTGCTTACGGTAAGCCTCTCAAAGTGGATAGTCCTATGCTTGCTGTCACTAGACTCTCTGTGGCTTGTGTGTTAGTAGAGAGAGATATCACTCAACCGGCTGCAGATGAGATATGGATTGACACTATTCACAACGGGTATTGGCAAAAGGTTGAAATGGAACCACATCCTCTCTATTGCTCTCATTGTAGTATGTTTGGACACAACTCTACTATTTGCTATCGACTGCATCCTCATCTAAGGCCAAATATCACAAAAGAACAGCCACCTATTATCCCAACTGAGAAGATGCAACCTGATCCTCTTCCCAACATCGTTGTTCCTAAGGACGAACAATGATATACCGAAAATATATGCATTTTTAGACCCATATTTTATACTCATTTCTGGTGATATTGCACTTTAATAGAAGGTATTTTGATATTTTCTTGCAGGTTGTTGATTTTTAGGGATTAAAGCAAAAAAGAATGCAAAAGGATGAAATTTAGAGTCAAAATTAAGTTTTTGAAAAAATGCTCAGCGCCAGCAGCGCCGACGGCGCAGAACAATTTAACGCTGGAGATTTTTACTCAACGAAGACGGCGCCAGATCAGGTGAGTCAATCTTCGGATGAAGAATGACAGGTCTATTCTAGGGGGAAGAAGAAGAATGGAGGTCGACTCCAGTTCGGAAACATGTTGGATGATACATTGGTCACTATTGAAAATGACAACCATCTCACCAATTTATTAGCTTGCTCCTTTCCTAGAACCATAAGCAGAGGCAAATCCAAATTGAGTGCTCTCTAGCCACCAGATACCTTGTATTTCAATAGTTTTAGGCTTTTTTCTTTTTGTCTCTAATGTACTTTTTAGTAATTTCTAGTTTTGGAACCCCTTTTGGTTTTGGTGTTGGCAGAGAGCTATGTTTTGGGCCCTCCAACACATTGTATCAGTATCTTACTTTTTTAGTTAATATATTAGCCTTTTGGGCTTTCAAAAAAAAAAAAATAATAAAAAGGGAAAAAACATCTCGTGCCTCCCTACGTGTTAATATAAATTAAAAGTACAAAAACAGGGAGGGAATAAGGATCTCCGTCTAAAAATACAATAAAGGAAAAAGTGTAACAAAAAGAATATTAAATCCAGCATACCAAAGTAATCGTATACCCCACAAAAGATGTACACTAAAAAATTAAGAAAGAACACAAAGACTAAGTGGAGTTTCAATTATCGGGGGGAAATAAACCCGCAAATTGGCTTGATATATATATATATATTTATATATATATATATATA